AAACCCTGCATTCAAATCAAACACAAATTAATAACTTATTTATCTTAAAAATCTAGACCTCAATGACACAAACCTGTTCGGGCAGGAAATAGGAGTCTCTGATGCGGTCAGATATGTCTGCGGTGTCCACCACGTCCTCTTCGGCCAAATCAAATGGTTTAATGATAAGTACTTTGCCTTTCATTTCCAGATACTTTCGGCCCATATTCAGCTTAATCTGTTTGAACTTATTCTTCATATTAAGCCGATATTGAGTGAAAAGTTTGGCTCTCGTGAAGGAGTTCATCAGAATCTCCTCCAAGTCTTTGCTGACCAGCGATTTGCCCACAAAGTCCTTTACCTCATCACTCAATTTAGTCAACTTTCCGCTCACATCAGTCTTGCCGTTCATATCACGTGATATCTTCTCTTTCAATGGTTTCGGCAAATCCTTTGATATGAATTTGGCGATCAATTCCAGCAAATAGTCGTCTGAAAGCATCTCCTCATCCATACGGACCTCAGACAACATATCAATGATAACGGCTTTACCGACCGGCGCCTTCTGCAACATCTTCATCGCAATCAGAGCTCCGTAGAAGTGACCGACGATATCGTAATCACCCTTTGGGTGCAGTTGTTTCAGTAAATCCATGTAATATTTGGTGATCTCCTTCAGTGAACCCAATTTCTCCATATCTTTAGTCCAATTGAGACCAATGACCGGGCGGTCAATCTTCTCAGCCAACGCCTCCAACGAAGCGAATATGCCCTCCAATGGGGGCAAGAAGTAGACCGGAACCCCAGTCTTCACACTATTAAGTCTTGTGGTAACCTCTGTCGGGATAATGAACTTAATTTTACTCAATTTCGTCCGACAATTCTTCACTTCTTCTGAGAATTTTCGCAATTCTTCCACTTTTCCGGCCTCGAAGTCTTTCATCAGTTTTACAGTAATTGACTTAATGTCACTCAACGACACCTTAATGTCGTAATCCCTTTCCAATCCCTGTTGTAGTTCCACAGCAAACATAGACTCCATACCAATCTCGCCGAGAGTCAAGTGATCGGGAGTGGTCTTCGGGTCAATACCTAATGCCAACCAAATCTGGTTAACCATTTTGGCCTCTTTTGTGCCCGACATCGTTGAGCGCTCAGCTCTTACCTATAGATTGATCACAAAACAAGTTAATAAAAATCAATTCATTTTTATAATTCATGAATACTTACAACACATGAAATCACAGAATGAGGTGATTGTAAGAATTTATCCAAAATTTCTAAACAAGAATTGATTCTCTGTTTCACAATTCCAGACAATGTGCTATTGATCTCTGTGGTGGACAGTACGCCGACGTCACCGATAGGTCCCCATTGAATGGCCAAACCATGCAAACCATCCTTACGTCTGGACTCACAGATGCGTTCGCAGATAGAGTTGGCGTAACCATAGTTGGATTGTCCGGCGTTTCCTTTACCGCAACTCACCGATGAAAACACCACAAAGTAATCCAAATTTAGATTCAATTCTCGACTCAATTTATCGAAATTCTGGAAACTCTTAGTCTTTGAGTCGACGGTTTCCTCAAACTTATCGTGAGTTTGATTCTCAATGAGACAATCATTGAGCACAAGAGCCAAATGGAAAACTCCTCCAATGGTTCCCATTTGGATGGCCTCAGCGAACAGTGCTTTCGAGCCCTCGAGAGTGTTGGTGTCATGGGTCGAGACCACGATATTTGGTTTAAACATCTCAAACTTCTTGCCCAAAGACTCCAATCGATCCAAAATGAACTTTTGGTACTTATTTCTGACGCCAAATCGTGAGGTCAACACGAAATTTCTGGCGCCCAAGAAGATCATCCAATGAAGCAGTTCCAGACCAAAGCCACCCAAACCACCGGTAATTATATAAACTTTGTTGTTATCAAAGTATGTTTTAGTGGTTGCCATCAGTCTTTGGGTCGGATTATAGCCCTTGAGTGCGATCTCAAAATTCTCCTCTTCCCTGATCTTAACAATGATTTTTCCCATATGTTTACCGGTTGTCATATAACGGAAAGCCTTTTCCGCCTCCTCGGCCTTAAAGACAGTCCTATTGATTGGTTTAATCATTCCGTTGTTGCAGTTCTCGTGCATCCAATCGAAGAACTGTTTGGCAAATCCCGGCACTAAAAATAGTTTCCTATCGACTGATACTCCGATGAAAGAGATATCTCTGAGGAATGAAAACATTCCCAACTGTTTGTTCATTTGGAGGTCATATTTGCCGATCTCTACAAACCGACCGCAATCTGCAACGCATTCATAACTGGCCTCAAGTTTATCGCCGGCCAATGAGTTGAGCACCAGATCCACACCCTTTCCTTTCGTGAGGGCTTTGATTCTGAACTTGAATTGAGTGTCTCGTGAACTGAATATTCTGTTCTCTGGGATATTGTATTCAGTCATTAAGAACTTCTTCTTGTCGTCGGTGCCAACCGTCACATAAATATCGCATTTATAGTATTGACACACAGTGATAGCCGCCTGACCAACACCGCCGGCGCCCGAGTGGATGAGAATACTCTCGTCTATTATCATACAAATTGTTCATTAATTCAATGAATCAATTGTTGAGAATAAATAATTCATACATTTCTGCAATTTGGCTCTTTCTATGAGTCCGTACCAAACGGTGCTATAAGTGCTGAGTATAGTGACCGCGTCGTCCATCGACCAGTGGTCGGGAATGGGAGATATGAACTCCTCGATAGAGTCCACAAACGTAGCAAAACAACGGCTCAAATCAAAACCGCAAACTCTTTTGCCGTTATCAGTACGACGTCCGCCAAACTCAAAGCCCAACAGACAGTCTGTGAACAGACTCTGAGGTCCTGACACAATACGGCCTATAATTCATTGCAGTTATAATTAGTTAAATTTTCTAATAATTAAATTTTTTTAATCATTTACCAGTCGCTAGCATAACATCTCTGAAGTTGAGTCCAGAGCTGTAGATATTACAGCGGATTTGTTTGCATTTTCTATTATTAATGTCATAATAAGTAGATTTTGGAACCAAATTCTTGGAGTCAAACCACGACAAACTACCAAGGTCCCTGTTTTGTCCGATATTTAAGAAGTAGTCACTTGTCTGAACTCTGTCGTAGTCCTTAGGCAGAGTAAAGTGTCTGAAAGTGCCGTTATGTCCCTCTTTGACAACATTTACGACCAAATCATTGATGAGAATCTCTTTGAAGGGACTCTCATTGAAATTAACGGGGAATTTGATTTGTTTGTCGTAATCATAGATACAGCGAATACTGTCTCCTCCCGGCTCTAAACGCAGACAATTGACAAGACCTACGATGCCATTGAATGCCGTATTGCTGGCAATGAGCCAAATGTGTTGGTCATCCTTCTCGTCCTCCCTCTTAACCAGGAGCCTGGCCTTCACTGATTCAAACCATTCACTCGATTTATCACTGATTTCAATGACATTTTTCTCCGATGGAATAAATGCCAGTTTAGTGACAATTCTTCGGAAGAGCACAGCCATGGATCCGATGCCATCGGTTTTGCTGCCAATCAACTCAAAGCCCACTTTCTTGGCGGCGGACATAAAGTTTGCAATTCTCTGCTCGAGGTCTGCATTATTGAAATCCTTTTTGCCGGTCAATGCATTCAACGCCAGCTCTGGTTCTGTAAACTTGTACCGGAATACAGACAATAAGAAGCCTTTGCTGACCAACAGGTCATACATTTCTTGAGCAAAATTCTCAACATTCAGATCCCATAACTCATACGAGTCCTTAACTATCAATAGGTTGGGAAGGGTTACGTCAGTGGGGAAAGCGGTCTTCTTGTGGTCCCATTCGTTGATTTTGAAAGACTTTTTACGGTAGCTTTCATTGAGAGTATCCGCAGATTTGACGGCAATGTTATAACTGACATCAATGGGGTATATGTGCGACGCCGCCAACTGGTTGTCTACCTCTTCGGCCAACAAACCATTAGTCAAATTGATTTCCAAGACTTTAATTTCCTTTTTGGGAACATTATTCTCACTGACGATATCAATAAGAGATCGAATCAAATGCTCATTCTTTGAGACTTGATTTATGACATCCAGTGATAAATCAAATTCCGGTTTGTTTTGTAACTCATTAATGAATTGTTTGAGGCTTTCGTTTCCCAAATCTTTGCTCAGATTCTGGTTCTCATCCCTCGAGTGTTTAATCACTTCGTTAAACACTTTCAGCAAAACGTATTCGTCTTTCATGTCCGACAAGTAGTCCTGAACCAGATCTTCATCCACTTTATTGCCGTCGTAGTGGCCGTCGTTTTTGAGGATATGTTTAGCTTTGGCCACAAGTGATGAACAAACCTTAAAACGTATTCGTCTTTCATGTCCGACAAGTAGTCCTGAACCAGATCTTCATCCACTTTATTGCCGTCGTAGTGGCCGTCGTTTTTGAGGATATGTTTAGCTTTGGCCACAAGTGATGAACAAACCTTCAAATACTCTTTAATATGATTTTTATGACTTTCTTCGATGGCATCTGACTCCTCATTGGCCACGAATTGATAGGACTCTAGTTTCAAGTCCTGAACATTAGTCTTACGAGGAATGGGAAGAGCCATCAGGTCTTCCACCTCAATACCCGGCGCCACAATCATCCGGGAGTTCATATCGACATAGAAGGGAAGCATTGATTTATACATATGGAAGTCCTGTCCAATGAGTTCTTCGATGTTCTGTATATTATTTGCTTCCAATATCTCTCCGACGTCTTCCGTCGCCATGACGTCGTCCAACACCTTCTCTTCGTCCACATCAGCCTTGTCTTCGGCGACCACCTTATAGGTAGTGACGGCGTCGTAGAGGACTCTGGGATCGCATCTTAACTGTTTAATCATGACCGGCACCATCATCTTCCTGAATGGCATGGCAGCGGCCATTGTCTGCAACAATGAGTCCATGAGAGTGATCCAATTGCCCTCCCAGAGCACCTCTCCGTTTATGATCTCGAAGTCATTTGTCTTAATGGTTCTCAAGCCTTGGAATTTGGGTCCGTAATCGTAGCCAAGAATATGCAAATCCTTATAGATATCAGCGTTTTCTAAGACCACTTCGTATTCCCTCTTAGCATCCGTCTCGAGTAGCAAATTCTGTACACTTAGTGTGTAGTCATCGGACGACCTGATTTTACCTAGGCAACATTCATTACCATTCTCTAGGATCACGAATTCACCTATAATTTTAAACCAGTTATAAAATTTAATAAGTTTCGACAATTAATTGTGCAAATAATCATTGATTTGTGTTTAATTACCCGAGTGTTGAAAATATCTGACTTTCATTCGCGTCACATCATTATCCGACAGAAAGACGGGTCGTCTGAACTGGACGTCCTCGAAGACAACCGGCATTTGGTTCCAGATCTTGCCGTGAAATGCGGCCAATTGTCTCCAGGCGAGCATCATATAGCCGGTCGCCGGGAACAACATATTGCCGTCGATGCTATGGTCGGGCAAAAAGGATTTGATAGCTCGCTGCAAATCAATCACTTCATTCATGTCGGAGGCCGTGGCTCTGAAGTGATAGTCTGGGAATTTGCGCACAAAATATGTCTGTTTGTGGTCCCATCGGATCAGCGAACTGATCGATTGCGTGCCTCTGGCCACCGGCCACTTCACCTTCGGGTACAGGTTCTCAATCGTGGGGTTCAGTCCAAACTCGTAGAGTTTGGCCAGGGATGACAAAAACATGTCTAAATTGGTTTCGTTGGCGTCCTTCTTAATGAGTGACAAATAAGTGGACGACTCGAGTGTTTGGGTGATTATCTTCGAGAAGAGAGCGTGCGGTCCGATCTCCAGGATTATGGCATCCGATTGTAATGTCTTGAGTTTGTTGTAGAAATAGACGGGACTAATGAGGTTATGGACGAAATACTCGGCCGACGCGTATCGCAGTATATCTTCGCACTCGGAGTCCAGAACCGCGGTTGACATCCATTTCTTGGACCTGAGCTTAGGTTTTGGCAAATATTTAGTGATCTCATCCGTCATTCTTTTGGCGGATGTCACGAGATATTCGCTGTGGTATGGGATGTCGTGGGACTCCAGTTCCCGAACGAACACTCCTTTTTTGTTCAGCTCTTCGACCAGTTTTTTCATCTCATTGTATAAACCTTTGACACAAATGTTATTAATTAAAAAATATTTCACTTTTAAGACACAAGACATACCAGACATGACGACAGTGTCCTTCGCGTTATTACAGACAACACTAACGCCTTTCGGGCATATCTTCTTGGCCTCAGACCAAGACATGCCGACCACAGCCATCAGACCTTTGGGTATCTTTTTATCACTTTCGGTGACAACACCTCTTATATAAGTGACGAGAAGTGCTTCTCTGGTGGTGAGGGCGCCGTCAGCGTAAGCGCAGGCGATCTCACCGAACGAATGGCCTATAATTCCGTCCGGAATAATACCCAGGGATGTGACCAAATCAAAGAGTGCTATCTCTATAGCAGTTGTGGCACAGAATTTGTTGGTCATCGACGACATGGAGGCCTTGTCATCGGACAGCAACAGATACTTCAAATCCACACCAAATGGTTTGAGTATTTCATGGCATTCCTCTATCTTATCTGCGAATCCCTTGATTGGCATCAAAGCCTTAGCCATACCGACCCACTGTCCTCCAAGACCAGGGAATAGGAACCAAAGGGGTCGATGGGTCTTAAGGGTGAGGGTTGATGACTGTCTTTTGTACTCATATTGAATCTCATTATTCTCTTCCTTTACTTTTTTAATCATTATTGAACCTATAATTCATACAAAAGTTTACAATTAATAATAATTATAATAATCATAACTTAAAATCATTAACTTTAGATGAGAGTACTAAAAACACCTTATGTGTTATTAAGGTAATTTTATAATTTTTATTATAGCCTATAAAATCATGATTTTAAGGTTATTTTAATTTTAATTTTATTTAGGGTTTAATATTTCATTATTTTTTACTTCTCTCTAATCAAATTTAAATTTATTTATCATTAATTATAATTTACTCAAATATTTGCTATTAGTGTCTAATGTATTGTTTTAAAGTTTGTTTACAATTCTTTACAAAAGTGATGATTTGTTAACAAAATATTATTTGTTTTAATGAATACTAAACACCAGGGGAATATTGAAAATTTAATTTATATTTTTATGGATAAATT